TTTTAACAAAAACTCAAATTTAAACCCAAAAAAAAAAAAAAAAGTGTTTGAATGTACGAGTTTAAATGAGATGTTGATGAAAAATAAGAAATATTCATGAGCATTTGCCCAAATTCATCCAACGGTATGATTAGGTAGGGGGAAACTATGCACAAGAACTTTTATTCGATCCGTATACCCGTTTTAAAATATCCACATCGGATAATCTGTTATATAGTTTTGAATCGAATACCTTTAAAAAATGAATCTGTATTTTTATCCAGCTCGATAATTTGGTTAAATCTAATCCTGATAAAAAAAACGTTTAATTCCAGTTTTTGTGCACGCCTACGCTTGTGTATTGACAAATATACAAAATAAAAAATAAAAAATAAATAAAAGAAAAAACGTAAAGTGACATGTTACTGTTCTTTTGATAGAAAAATTGTTATTAATAATTGAAAATTGTAATTATATTGTTATTATGGATTTGTGTCTACTCTCATCGTCTGGAGTTATATTGCTAGGTAGTGAGTTGTTCTTATTCCGTTTTCGGTGGATACATTTATTCGGTGGAGTATTTGTCTTCTTTGGTGGGAATCCAGTGCAAGTGTTTTTGTCATTATCGAGTTTTGGGTTTTGTTGAATTTCCGCAATATTCATATAGATGGAAAGGTAAAACCGAAAATTTTTAGACATTTTTTTATGACATTGTAGCTAATTTTTTTTTTTTTTTTTTTTTTTTGGGTTTCTAATAGGAAGAAAAAAAAAATGCATCGGGGGTTCTTGGTTGCAAAACCGTGCTCTAGTTTGTAAAACTTGGTAATTTTCTAATTTGTTTTAATTGGTTTTATTTTTTACTGTATTTCTGTCGTTCAAAAAAGAAATCTTGTTATTATGTTGTTCTTAGGATAAAAAATCTATAATATATGTAAAGCATTAAATTAAATGATATGATATTCTTTTCAGTGGGGCACCAAAAGTCCAAAACCATTGTATTCAATTTTATATTACTACGATAAATTCATATTTTTTTGGACTGAAACTACTAGAGCATTACTAGTGTTACTCTATGTACGGAATTTGAAATTTTGACTCAAAATTTACTTTGTTAAGACTAAAAGCTTTGATAGGATTGAACTTGAGAAACATTCTATTTTGAATGGCACATTAAATGTTTCACAAACATGTTCAAAATTTAAACTTGTTATATACACATTAACAAAGAAAAAAAAAACATTTTCAGAATTTAATATCCAATACTTACTTATAATGAAAATGTTGTATTTATATTTATAATTTATGAATTTATGAATGTCATGTGTTCCAAATTCCAATCATTATGAATCATAGACCTTAGACTCACGATCTAAAATTAGAAACTAACCAAAGGATGGATGTTGATCCCGCAAGAATCTCTAGCCCAAACAAATTTCAATTCTCAATTCATATTTACACTTACCATTTTCCTAAATTAATCATCTCAAATCTAATAAATGTTCTTCATTTCTTCTTTTATCAATCCTTCCATTCACAGCATAATCTAACGATTTTCCAGAAATATGAGAGAGATTGTAAGCATACACATCGGCCAAGCCGGAATTCAGGTCGGCAATTCCTGCTGGGAGCTTTATTGCCTCGAACACGAGATTCAACCCGATGGCTTCATGACCAGGTTTCTCGTTTTTCTTCAAAATCATCAAATCTGTTGATACACAGAAACTAAAATCAACGATTTCCAGGATTTCTTATTGTATTTGTATAGATTGATTCGATTTGTTATTTCTTTTCTAAATCGATGAATGTATCCTTGAAATCCATGGATATCATATGTTAATTTGTGTTTAAAATTAGGGTTTGTTACTGAATTTTTTGTGAGATTTGTTGGCAGCGGCGAGTCGCAGCATAGCACCGGCGACGATTCGTTCAACACGTTCTTCAGCGAAACAAGTTCTGGAAAAAACGTTCCGAGAGCTGTATTCGTGGATCTGGAACCGACTGTGATTGATGAAATCCGCTCCGGTAGCTACCGGCAACTCTTCCACCCTGAACAACTTATCACCGGCAAGGAGGACGCCGCTAATAATTTCGCCAGAGGACATTATACAGGTAACTCTTTAGCCTTTTTGTATTGGTTTTCTATTTTATCATGGAAGAAAAAAAGCTTTCTATTTATGTAACTTTAATGATACAAAAAATTTTGAAGATTCGTTATTTTAATTGAAGTGGATTTTTATTTTTATAAGTAACTAAAAATATTGTTTTATTATAACTTATTTGGATTTTGGATGTGTGAGCTTATGGTTGATTAATTGATTTTTTTTTATGTTGGTCATAAAAGGTGTCTTGTAGTTTTTTTTTTTTTTAAATGTATTGACTTTTGTCATAAAAAAATTGTACATGTTCCAACAAAAACTACATTTTTCGACCAAAATTACAAAGATCATACATTTATTAAGGGACCAAAAATAATCATTATCTAAACACGTTACAAAAAATCTCAAAAGATTACTAGATTTATAAAAACGAAGTGTTCAAACTAATCACAACTATTACATAATTGATCAATGTGAACACAAATTTGTGTGCAGTGGGAAAAGAACTTGTTGATCTATGTCTCGATCGAGTTCGAAAGTTAGCAGACAATTGCACCGGTCTGCAAGGATTTATGGTTTTCAATGCAGTAGGTGGTGGGACCGGTTCAGGTTTAGGATCATTACTTCTAGAACGTTTATCCGTTGAATACGGCAAAAAGCCCAAACTCGGTTTCTCAATCTTTCCATCCCCCCAAGTTTCAACTGCAGTTGTTGAGCCTTTTAACAGTGTGTTATCAACTCACTCACTACTCGAACACACAGACGTTGTTGCATTACTTGACAATGAAGCAATATATGATATTTGTAGGCGGGCTTTGGACATCGAAAGGCCATCTTACACGAATTTAAACCGTTTGATTTCTCAAATCATTTCATCATTGACTACTTCATTGAGGTTCGATGGTGCAATTAATGTTGATATTACAGAGTTTCAAACGAATCTGGTTCCATATCCTAGGATACATTTTATGCTTTCTTCATATGCACCCGTGATCTCAGCTGTCAGAGCCCACCATGAGCATAACACAGTGTCTGAGATCACGACTGCGGTGTTTGAGCCGTCGAATATGATGGCTAAATGTGACCCGAGACATGGGAAATATATGGCGTGTTGTTTGATGTATCGTGGTGAAGTTGTCCCGAAAGATGTTAATACTGCTGTGGGGTCCATCAAGAACAAACGTACTGTTCAGTTTGTAGATTGGTAGGCTTTTTCTTTCGTATTAACTATTAACTATTTAAAGCAAAAAAGCAAGCGCGTTTAATGAAAAAACTAAGCAATATAAAAAGTTTCTTGATTTATATTTCTATAAGTAAATTGTGATTTTTTTTGAAGGTGTCCAACGGGTTTCAAGTGTGGAATCAACTACCAGGCACCGACAGTGGTTCCTGGCGGCGATCTTGCAAAGACAAGGCGAGCAGTGGCCATGATAAGCAACAACACGGCGGTGGCTGAAGTGTTCAACCGGATTGACCATAAGTTTGACCTTATGTTTGCAAAAAGAGCTTTTGTGCATTGGTATGTGGGTGAAGGCATGGAAGAAGGTGAGTTTTCAGAAGCACGTGAGGATCTTGCTGCTCTTGAGAAAGATTATGAAGAAGTTGGTCAAGATGCTGAGGAGGAAGGAGGAGAGGAAGAAGAGGAGTAATCATCCCATGTGGCTCTCACCTTTCAAAACTATATATATTTTATTTGTTGATTAAATTTTATATTTTAGAGTTCAAATATGCACAAAATATAAATCAAGTTCTAACATTGTATTCTTTTTTCCCACGAGTAATGTGGCTGATGAGTAATGATGTTTGTCTCCATATCATGTTGTATACATAAAATCTATTGGTTTTTTAGTCAAAATTTTTTTTTTTTCTGAAATGAATGTTCCCTTCGCCACCATCGTCGGTGTCTTTGTGTGACATTATCATAACAGACAGGACATTGTTTGTTAGGGCCCAACTTGTTTATCCAGTTTGATACTGGTTTTTATTCATTTAGGCCGAAGTCACTTTAGGTTAATTTTGAAATTGGAAAACAGGAATGTCGCTTGAGTTTCTTGATGAGCAATTGCCAAATGGCAATACACATGAAACGAATGGCAACGATTCACATCTTTGATAAGTGACTAACAGGTAATCGTCTCAGTCTAAATGTCTCATACTCTCATTTGGTTTTAAGAATCACAATCACAATCACAATCCAAATTTTATAGTCGTAATCACGAATTTATAAACCTTGTTCTCAGTTCTTGTCTTTACTCTTCAGTCTTAAAAAGTGACAATCATCTGCTTTTATGTTTGACTCTTCTAATCTTCTTTAATATTAATCAAAATTCAACTCAATAGTCTTTTTAAATCACTAAATAGGCATGTTTCTATTCTAACTTTCTATCTTTCTCTGATTCAATGGCTATAAATTATAATTGACTAATTTCTAAAGTATTTCTCTTTAATGAAGATTTTTACATTTCTGGCTTGGTTACTCAAGACTCAAGAACATAATTTGCAATATTTAGCTATTAACATGCCTTCTGGATTTAGCAACTAGCAATTCACAAACATCACATGAGTTTTCTTTTTCAAAAATGTACTTTATTGTTAGTTCATTTGATTGTGAACTTGATTGTCGGTGAATAATTGTAATGTGTTTGTTTTTTGTATTGAAACTAGAGTAGATTGTTTTTAAGCACACTTTGTTGATATTATACATGGAACATCTGAAAATGGATGAACAAATTATAAAATCTAGTAAGTTTATAATAATTCGGCTTATTGGTTGGGGTATTTTATCAAAAAGAAACATTTCTTTTTGATAAATCATTTCTTTTAGAAGGCATGTTTTCATTCTGTCAGAGCCTTATAAATCATTCATGCTACAGAATCATTCTTGTTGCCAAACAGGTAAGTCGAAGAAACAACCTAAAGTTTGGTGTGAAATAATATTTTAAAAGACATAACAAAATTATGCAACATAAAAAAAAAGCAAAATCTCTAACATATAATAGTTGATTAAAGCATGAAGCAAAAAAAAATTACATAAAATCTAATGCAAGATCCATGATTAAACATTTGTTTTCATAGTTTTTCCCCGATAAAAATGTGAATAACACTAACCAGAAAGAGTATGGTGATGATGATGATGATGATGATGATAATACTTCCTCAACGATTGGCCTTGGCAACTCTCTCAATCTCATCTTTCTTCTTAATCGCATAGCTACAACAAGAACAGATGAACAATGAATACATAAAATACGAATAAAATAAATAAATAGCAATTTTTTGTTTCGGGGATTCAAATATTCAACACATACCTGTTTGAAGAGCCCTTAGCAGCATTAATGAGCTCATCAGCAAGACATTCAGCAATGGTCTTGACATTTCTGAAAGCACTCTCACGTGCACCGGTGGTAAGAAGATAGATAGCTTGATTGACACGTCTTAGAGGTGAGATATCAACAGCTTGACGCCTCACAACACCAGCAGAACCGATTCTTGTTGCATCTTCTCTTGGTCCACTGAACATCATCAGTTACAATCAATCAGAAACCATGGAAATGTAAGGATGGTTGAAAAGAAGTAGAGTGAAACTGTAGAAGGTGATTGATTGTGTACCTGTTGATGACAGCATCAACGATGATTTGAATGGGATTAGCATCAGTTAACAGATGGATGATTTCCATTGCGTGTTTGACAATGCGAACAGCCATGAGCTTTTTACCATTGTTTCTCCCGTGCATCATGAGAGAGTTGGTTAATCGTTCAACGATTGGGCATTGAGCCTTCCTGAACCTCCTTGCTTGGTACCTTCCAGCTGTGTGAGGCATGTAAATTGGGTGCTTTGATGCGGTAGCAGTGATGTAATCCTCTACAGAAAGATCGGGAACCTGTTCACATGACATAGTTAACTCGCATAATATTTCTAAACCAACCAGATCGAGATTGAAATTCATGAGCTAGAAGTACAATACGATGAGCTTAACATGACACAATTGGTGAAGATATTAAAATGAATCGATGATACTTAAGCAGTTTACACACACGAATATCTACTGAAACATGTGAATTTGGCTTAATCGGTTAAGAAGATAACCTGAACGTCGTCGTAAGTCCAGCGGTTAAAAAGCAGGACCTCGCTGCGAGCCTTCCCGTCTTCAACAATAGGTGCGACGGCCTCCATTGCTAACGATTCTTACTCAAACTGTAAAGCAAAAGCCTTCGTGATTAGTGTGTTAACATGAACACGAAAAATACTGGATTAACTCGATCAAAATTGAACAAATTTGGTGAAACGTGTTGTCGTAGGTACATGGATTAAACAGATCGAAGAGGAAGAGTTAGCAAACCTAGAATCCGGGTGTGAGGAACAAAGCTGCTGGTTCTAACCTAAGCTCCGCTTCAGACGACGAAAGGGGTGATAAAACCCTAATTGGTTGTATATAGTATGCTTGTGGTCAGTGAAGGCTTGATTATTGGGCTTGACTTGTAGGCCCAATCACATGGTTTTTTAGATGGAGATCAATAGGTCATTCCATTATCCATATAGTAGTAGTAGAGTTGAATTTCCGCAGGCTTGACTAAAATAATTTGGGCTTTGCAAAAAAATTAAACAAGTTTGATGGTGATTCAAGTATGGTGGTAATCTCGATAGGACACCGTCCGAAATGTAAATAAACGGGTTTAGATTATTTTTTAAGTTGGCCCGTCTTTCTCACATAATAAATAAATCGTGTTTGGATTGGTATGTATGCTTAGAGGTCAACCCATTAACCCATTAAACCATATTAGCTTCAAAAACATATATACCAATTTGAGATGACAATTCTCCCAAGAATAAAAACAATAAGAGTTTAAACAATTTTACGTGTCTTTTCATATCTTCAAAAAGCAAATTAAAAATAAAAAATAAATAATAAATAAATAATAAATAAAATAAAAAACAAACTAGATATGAGGAACTAATGTTGGTATTGTAACGTCCCAAAAATTAGAGCTAAAAAATTCATTTTTATTTAAAGAGACCATCAACCAAACATTTCTTGTGAAACCATATTGAAATCAAAGTATGTTAATAAACATCCAAATACATCAAGTCCATTTGATTTCTGGATACATGTCAAAGCTAATGGGAGCATAATTGTTATGTTGATATTGCAAGTTAGTAATACTACTTGTAGGGAACAAAGTTTTGTTTGCGAATTGCAAAGTTTAAATATTTTTGCTATAGTTAGACTTAAGGGAGATGGTGTTCATACTTCTTTTCGAATCTAAAGGTTTAGATCAAATGGTTTAATAGAGCTTAGTCTTGGACATTTATGAATGTCATGTTAAAATAATTTAATCTTAATCCTAAACCCTCTAGATTTCGAAAATGTAGGGTATAGGATAATTATCCAATTAAACAACAATTATCCAAACAAGGAACCCTAAAACCGTACGGTAATTTCGAAATCAAGGGATGGAGCTAGGGTTTTTCAAAACCCTAACCCTCTTTTTGATTAGGGTTTATGGAGGCTAGGGTTTTTCGAAAACCCCTCAAACCAAAACCCTAAAAACGAAAACTTTGGCCTTTAGGGTTTAATAGCTATAAACCCTAATTTGCAATTCAACTCTTATAGCAATTCAAATTAAAACATAACCAATGGCTCTGATACAACTTATGGGTTTTACGTAAAGTAAATAAACTAGAAAACAGCTCCAAAGTTCAGATGCAGCCTACTTTGGATCTGTGTTTTAATTATTGAACATATAACTTTGAATTGCAAAACAAAAACTCTAAATAGGGAGGCTATTTTCCGAAAACAACTAATTAGGGTTTTTAGAATCACATACCTTTCAATTGTTATAGTAACAATTGGTAATCCTCGATCTTGATCTTCTTGGAAACCTAGCACCACAATTGTAATTCCTTTAATGGAGTCACACCCAAGAGCTAGCAAGAAGGACAATGTGTGTGTGTATATATATATATATATATATATATATATATATATATATATATATAGAGAGAGAGAGAGAGAGGTTGTGTGTATGTGTGTGTGAGGATGAGTACGTAATTTTCGGCCTAGGTTTCTTTTAGAGAATGAGTACTGAATCTGAGAGCCATAGGGTTCCTCTTATAGTTGAAGCAGCTAGGATTTCAGAGATAACACTAATGTTCTTTTTCTTATGGCCCAAGCTAAACCATAGACCTTTACTAAAGCCCTTCGACGAAATCATTAGGGTTTCCCCTAAGAATTTCGTCCACCTCCTCCAAGGAGGTTCTGGAGCCTTCCATCTAACTATTTTAATAATTTCAAACTAGTCCTTGTACTTCATAATTAATATAATTAACCCCAAAATCAATTCTAATTAGTTTATGGTTAACTATTAATCAAACATTATGATTTATAATTAATATATTAATCTCATAGTATATTATTAAATCATTTATATTAATTTATTAGTCTTATAATAAATTAATCTCTCTCCTTTCATAATTTCATTGTCGAGTTGCTAGGTTTGAGGGCAACTGTAACACCCAAAGTTTTAAAGGCCAAGAAGGGAAAGAAAAGCCCTAATTTTAAGGGTCGACTCGGCGAGTCCAAGGAGGGACTCGGCGAGTCCGAGCGGGATCCGGGTCAAGGTGTAAGTGGCCAACTCGGTGAGTCGGCCAAGTGGACTCGGCGAGTCTGTTCTGTGCGAGGAAAACCATGAATCCGGGACTTTGGGCGCTATTTAAGCTTCTTATTCTCTCCATTAGGGTTCCTTAGAGCCTCCCTTGTTCAGAAAACGAAGCCTAAGCCTCCATTGTTGTAAAATTCAAGCTTCCAAGTCATTTTTGGGTAATTTAAAGGAAGAAGAAGGAGGGGAATCAGTAAAGCTTCAAGGATTTGCTTCAAATCTGGAGTTTGTGGAACCTTTCTGAAGTATTGAAGGTATTAAGTCATTTCCTTCCCTTAGATCAAATCTTGGTTGTGAGTTTTAGGGCTTTTAAGCCATGATTAGCCACCCTTATGGGTTAGAAGCCGGATCTGGAGTTGCTACTTCAGATCCAAGTGTGTTATGGTCTGGAGAAGCATAAAGTATCAGCCATTAAGTCGATTTTGAAGCCCCTTGGCCTTAAACCCTAGTTTATGGCATATTTTGCCTAGATCTCCTTCTCTACACGTAAAGTTTGCAACTTTACGTGTGGAATAGGCTTGGGAAGGGTAGATCTACAGTTTGGAGTCCATGCATGACTCTAAAATCCTCTGCATGTAAGGAGAACTGAAGGGACTCGGCGAGTCCTTTGAGTGGACTCGGCGAGTAGCATGAAGTTGTGGAGAAACTCGACGAGTGGGATGAACAACTCGTCAAGTCGTATGAAGATTGCCTTGTACTCGGCGAGTCAGGTCGCGAAACCCCAAATCCTTCGAGTTGAGACTCGAATCAGTGAGTCGGGTGGAGACTCAGTGAGTTGGACAGGTCTGGACTCAGAAATCGGTAGACTCGGCGAGTCATGGAGTGACTCGGCGAGTCGAGTCACGAATGGAAGGAATCTGAACATTATGAACTCGGCGAGTCAGTAGGGTGACTCGGCGAGTAGGGTTGACCTGGAAGGTTGACCTTGACCAGGATTTTTGACTTGGACCAGGGTGGACTTGGTTGTCTTTCGGGGGTCAGTTAGACTCAGTGTTGCATTGATATTGGTAATTCGGGGAGCAAGGGGATCAGGAGTTCCGTGAGTTGTTGGGAAGCAACTAGTGAGATCATCAGCAAGTTCAGCCATTGCAGGTGAGTTTCCCTTTGTGTGAATGGGTCTAAGGCCACAATGCCGACCCATGTAGTTATGAATAGAAGACCCGGGGGTTAGCCCTAGGCACAGTATGCTAGTATTATTCTCAGGACGAGGTCCAGTAATAGCGGGCGGGTGCCCAAGGAATTGTTTATATGATAGTTTATACTTGTTGTCTGTGTGATACATGTATGTGCCTGGTAGGGAGGTGAGTGGGGGCGAGGTCTCGTATCTCACCAATAGCAGAGTGTGGATGGGGTTCCATATCTCATTAGTAGCAGAATACGGGCGAGGCCCAAACTAGAATAGGAGTGAAAGTGGGCTAGGCCCGTACCTCACTACCATTAGTAGCATGGACGGGGTTCCATGACTCATCAGTAGCAGGACATGGGCGAGGCCCAGGATAGGCGAGGCCTTAGGACAGAACCAGTTGCATGTGTTAGTTATGTGTTGTGAAATGTTTATGTGTTATTATTTGTTGACGGGCGAGGCCCTGTGACAGGCGAGGCCTAAGTAAAACCGATCTGTATCCGAGCGGGGCTCGAAGCCAGGCGGGGCCTAGAGCGGTGAGGTCGTTGTAGCGAGCGAGGCCCGAGGTAGGGGGCGAGGCCCGAGATAGGGGGCGTGGCCTAGTATGTGCAATATGTGGTTATGCATGGTATGTGGTAGGGTGGGTAACTCACTAAGCTTCGTGCTTACGGTTTTCAGTTTTGGTTTCAGGTACTTCCGGTAGCGGAGGGAAGAGCTCGAGGTGATCGCATGGCACACACCATAGATTAGACAGCCTGGGAATGTTTACTCTGATAATGAACATGTGTTTTGAAAACTTATACTTATATTATGTTTTGGAATGATGACTTTACTTTAAGTGATGATTTATTAAAAGAAATTTTGGGTCTTAAATTTTGGGTCGTTACAGCAACCCAAAAGGATTGTGCTGCTTTCAATTCAAGTACATATCAATTATAGTTGTGGGCTTAGACACTTAAGCCAACATAAACACAGTGAGGAAACTTACCTCAAGATGCATAATCTCTCATATAAAATCTCAGTCTGCTGGTCAAGAACCCCCACCCCCTCCCCCCCACTCCCGCACTAACATCATCAAATAATATCCAACTAATAATTGGATCTCGACACATAATCAAAAATCTAAGATTATTTGTAAATATGTGGATTTTCGTGATGATGAAAATGGCTGATTTGGGTTTGTTCTTTCTTGATTATCAAAATAGAAACCTACAAATCAAAATTGAAAGAAATTGATTTGAGTTTGTTCTTGTTTGATTTTGTCACACCCCAAAACCGGAACGGCGGAAACGTTATGGGGTGGATGATGTCATGTCAAGTATCACAACACATGCATTATAGTAATCAAAGTACAACAAAACATTGCATTAATAGTAATAGTTCCACATAGTTTACATAACAGGGTATCAAAGTAATACAGAGAATTGTAATAAGAACAGCATGGTACTAAGCTATATTCATCAACAGCTCCGGGGATGTACCTGTCTAATGCTAAGCTGAGAATACAAGTTATTTGAAAAACGAGTATCAACATTTTTACAAAATGCTGGTGAGTTCATAAGTAATTAGTGACATTTTATTCAAATAACTTTATAATGTAGTAGTTTAAGAGTTTACAGTGTATTAGAGTTCTTTCCAGAAAATCCTATATTTTCTTTAATAAAAGCAGCCTTCTACCAAGACTGGACGGAGTTATGTGGTAAAAAGTAGACTCTAGGAGAGTATCGAACGAACGATACGCCTGGTTCCGTCTAACAAATGGAGACACAGACCCCAGAAGGTACCAAATGAAAGGTACAGCTGGTAAGGTCTGAAACAGTGAATACAGACCGCAGACAGTATCAAATGAAAGATACATCTTGCAAGGTCAAAACAGAGAATACAGACTGCAGATAGTATCAAATGAAAGATACATCTTGCAAGGTCAAAACAGAGAATACAGACCGCAGATAATATCAAATGAAAGATACATCTTGAAAGGTCAAAGCAGAGAATACAGACCGCAAACAGTATCAAATGAAGGATACATCTTGCAAGGTCAAAACAGTGTGACTCTGAAAATAAGTTACCAACATACAATGTAAATTGCCGGTGAAATACCGTTACCTTAAGGCCATGAATTATAAGGCAACCAAGGATACTCGTAACCATACTAACCAACACTAAAGTACCTGACGCCCTACAAGCGTCTATAAAATATGTCAGTTGTCACCCCTTGGCTTGGTGGGTCGTGGACTGTAACTAGCTGTCAGGGTGCGGGGGTGTAAATCCCGTATAGATCTATACACACAATGTTCGCTCTCCCTACAGGAGACTCTGGTTACCAACTAGACGACGGAGAAGGCCGTGTCCCGAAGATGCATCCCAAATAGTGGGTAGAGACTTCCAAATAGTGGGTAGTGTGTCTTTAATGTAAGTATTGAACTAGAGGTAGAGACTTCCAAATAGTGGGTAGTGTGTTTCTAATGTAAGTGTTGAACTAGAGGTAGAGACTCGTAACTGAACTGACTAGAGCATACATGTACGTCTATACTCGTATACATAATATGTAACTAATGAATCAAACAACCTTCGGACGGCCATCCGATCCCACCAGACCACATCTCAACGAAGAAAAGGAAATAGGGCGGACGAGCCTTCCTAAGACTTTCAAATCATTATTTATATGTACCTATACAAGCACAAACATACATCTAACTACGAATGAGTATGTATTAAGTAGAAGTGATTTTTGTGAAGTAGGAGTGTCTAACGAGTGAAGTAGGAGCGGTCGCAAGTGAAGTAGGAGTGTCGAACAAGTATAAGCATATCACAAAGTAGAAGCGACGATAAGTGAAGTAAGAGCGTTTATAAAGTATAAGCGACTACAAGTATAAGTGAAATAGAGACAATAACCGGTATAAGCGTACCACGAAGGAATTGCGTTATCAAGTAGGAGTTTTAAATAAGTAAAGCGAAGCAGTAGTAACAAACAAGTAAAAGTATACGTCGTAAAAGGGAACTTCGATGAAAACCTTGGAAAAACCTTTATACTCAGGGAGAATCACATTCGATATTCTTTGGTAAAATTAGTTTGAAAAACTTTATAAATCCTTGGAACCTTTATAAACCAGTTTAAAATGAACTTAGATAAAACAATATAAGTAAGGGTTTTGAAACAAATGAAAACCTTTTTGAAACCATCATAGTATCCTACTCGGTAAAAAGTGTACAGTGTGGTAAAATTCTGTGCATGCGGGTTATCAATCACATGTGATCGATATGATAACTGACATGTTTAACTTGTATTCCCCCCTATAAACATGTAACAACATTTAAAAGGTTCATTCAGGGGTATGAACTCACCTGATGTAAGTAGGTCCGACGGAGGTGCCGGTTGGGTATTCGGTGTCACGTAAAGACTTGAACACACTCAATGACCTATTTAACATGTGATAACATATGTTCACATACAATTAGTATATTTAATACTAATTAAACAAATATACGCACTCAAAAGGAGCGGAAAACACTTTGGTTAAGTGTTTAGGGTTTCCCGGGTAGCGTCTAAAGGTGTGTATGGCTTAGGAATGGAGTTTACTATCTGAGAGTAAACTCTCAATGCTATGTTTACGGCCTAGGGACATCTCACCATGAGTTTACGGCTGTAAACTCATGGTGAGGGGTTCTAGTGTGTTTTAAGGCTTCTAACTTGTTCATGGAATTATTCTAGGTTCAAAACTATATAGTATGAATGGGTTTAAGGTCTATAAGGGCATCATTAGGGAGTTTACGGCCCATGAACCATCCCTAAGGGAGTTCACGGCCGTGAACTCTCATTCCTTGAGTTTAATGAAGTTTTAAGCCCTTAATTCACTCCTAGCATTTTATGGTAATAGTCTAAGGCCATTTGGGGGACAAAAACCAACATTTTGGCATCATTAAGGGTGTTTACGGCCTTGACATGTGTCTGGGCTGTAAACTCCTTTTAACCCCTTAAATCTTTGTGTTTGGATGATCTAAACCCGAAATAGCAAGCCCCTAATTCATGTATAAGCCTAAGGGTGGTTTGGGAGTGTGTTTAGGGCATTTTGACAAGGTTTAGAGGTGTTTACGGCCTAAGCATGTGCTTGGGCCGTAAACTCTCTTTTATGCCCTAAAATCCTATGTTTTGATGATTAAACACTCCTAGACAAATTCCTTAATTGGTTCCTAGGCTCAATGGGACAAGTTCGGGTCATTTTGGCCACATTTAAGGGGTTTACGGCCCTAGAAATTTCTTGGGCCGTAAACTCCTCTTTGACAGCTTATATGGTTGAATTTTGGGGTATAATCACAAGTCATAATGTTTAGAACAAGCTAGGGTAAGTGGACTTACGATTTGGAAGCGTTTGGTTGCGGATTCGGGTAAAAAACGAGTCTAGAGAGAGAGTCTAGAGAGAGAGGGTGGAAAAGGCTCAAATGGAATTTACTCCCCCTTATATATGGGTGGGAGTTGGAGCTTAGTGATATTCTACCCAATACTGTCATTTAACGGGGTTGTTGGTCGCACCCGATTTAGTGGTTGTAATAATAAAAACTAACTTTTCCAACTAAATGGAAATGTGTATTATGAGTTTTTATTTCTCTTATCACGACTGAACGACATAAATAAATGAAATATTTATTTAATTGGCGACCTCTAATTAACGAAACTTTTATACAGTGGAATATTCCGTTAACGATAACGGGGTAATATAACGGAATAACTTTGGGTTGTCACAAATTTATTTGTGGAAATCGAAACTTAAACCTCGAAACCCTTATTATCGTGATCTACTATACAAAAACGAAGAAAATACACACTATATTTGATGAATGTATCACATAAAATTAGAAAGGAAGAGTAGTGCTTCTGTAAGATTATTTGTAAATATGATGTTTTATAAATTCAAAGTTCACAATATCTATAAATAAATAATTATATGGAAGAAAGTTGTGAATTTATTCTAAGATATACTTTGCCTTAGTCGAGTAGTTGTGTGATGTAGTTGCTAATCGCATCGGCGACGCATCTTTCAGCCACTCCATCTTCATCCTTGTAGCCTCTGCATACAAATCACTATTTAAGTGCATAGAAAATTAGAAATGGTGGACCGGAAAAGCAAGAAATAATCACCGGTACCATTTCCCACTTATGATATATTGGTAAGTGCAAGGGGTATCAGTGTATTGAAGCGATACAGATTTGGGACCGAAGATAACTTTCAATGCAACTATTAATGTGATTATTCCAATTATACTGAGTATCATCCATGTAACGATCGTGGTCGGGATTCTTACTCTTAGATCTAATATTCAAATCACTAGAATTTCGATAAAAGAACTTTATAGTTCACTACAAAAAGAATGATCATTGACAATCTCAAAAATATGATTTTTAATATCAAAATATATAGAATAACTGTCCCCATTACTATCTTTCACTAACAAAGTATCATAAGAGAAAAAAATTCCGAATGACCTTCGACGGCCAAAAAAAGATCAGCACTAAATCGTCTACACTAACAATCCATCATTCTCCCCCCAAACAACGATTTTAGTAAATAACCAAACATGATACTTGGGCTAAGCGTCAAGTTGGTTATTTTTCTTACATATCCTCCTCCCGTATGAGTGTGATTTTGTGCTCCGATTCAAGAGAGATAAAGGGATGGGACCGGTGGATTAAAGAGGTGGGACCCATTGTATTGTCATAACAATATAAATAGTTATAAGAAATAAATTAAATAAAAAAGAAATTACCAATGACACAATAGTCTTTTTATATAGTGCATGGACTAGCCATACAACGAAAACATACTATGGTGTCTGAGTTTAAAAAAAAATGTTAGGATCCAATTACACAAATTACCTTAAACAACAGGGACCAATCTTGTAATTTACTCTAAATTAATGAAAATTTGATTTTTCTTTTATAACTCAACCATCGGAAATCTGTAAACATAAAAACTGCCTCCGGCTCCTTCAACATCGACGGACACCTTCTTCCTACACCATTAGCCGGCCATCAGACCTACCATCGCCGTCGACCAGCAGCGCATCTCCGCCGTCAGCTCCTCTGCGCCGATCTCTTCCCCTCGTCCCCGACGGTACGTCTATTTCTATTTCGATTTCGATTTCGATTTTGACCTAATCTACAACAGTACCTCGAACCTAATTTCTTCCCTTTTCCTGTCTCTTGGCACCACCTTAATACTGATTTATTGATTAATCTGCACCACTACCTCGATTTTGAGTTTAACCTAATCTGTACATTGTCTTGCTTTGTTCCAGTTCTATACACCAACTGTTAGAGAAAAAAATAATTCAATAATGGAAGCCAGTTGGTTGAATTTCTGAATAACTGATCTTCAAATATGATGCTTGTAATTACGAAATTCGATACATCTCATGAGTTTCTGTCTAGTGTTTATTAGTTTCACTTTGGCGAACATCTATATCAACTAATCAGAATCTGATCCCGTATCCGATTTAGAACAGCAGACATATCAATGCCTGCAGAATCATGTATTTTTGGCCAATTCGATGCAGAAAAAATATGATGGATCATGGATGCTTATGTAGGCTTTAGAAACTGATATCTTCTTGTCAACTTAATTGACATTCAGGATACATTTAATGTATTTAAGTCTATCCATAATCATTTAACAGAAGATTGAATTATTGTTTTTAGGACATGTATATAGGGTTCTCTTAAGTTTTAACTGACATTTTTATTTCAGGAAAACCTACTGTAAATGGCAACAGCAACTTATCCACCTCCTCCACCATATTACAGACTCTACAAAGATTATGAACAAGACCCCACCTCTGCTCCAGAACCTCCCCCTCCTATTCAAGGAACTTACCTCTTATATGGTGCCAATTACACTGTAAGCTCATCTTCTTAATAACAACATAATCAAATAGTATATTTTCATCATACACATTGTCAAATTTGATTCTTTTATATACTAATTTTGTTTGTAGACTGATGATGTATTGCCAAGTTTGGAGGATCAGGGTGTTCGCCAGCTGTACCCAAAAGGCCCAAATGTTGGTATGTTATAATTCCATTTTCTTTCTGTTTTTTTATTTTTCCATAATTGGTAGTTGCATTTTCGATTAATTTAATTAATTTTATAGATTTCAAGAAGGAATTGAGGTCACTAAATAGGGAATTGCAGCTGCATATATTGGAGTTAGCTGATGTTTTGATAGAAAGGCCATCACAATATGCAAGGAGAGTGGAAGATATTTCTCTTATATTCAAGAATTTGCATCACCTTCTTAATTCATTAAGGCCACATCAGGTAGAATTATGTCTGATTAAAATTTTAATTAACTTAATTTGTTCTTATTTCAAGACCAATTTACTTAAATACCCAAAATACCCCTTTTTTCAGGCGAGAGCAACACTTATTCACATACTTGAACTTCAGATACAAAGACGAAAGCAAGCTGTGGAGGACATCAAAAGGCATGTTTTGTACATTTCATGTCAACACAAATAGACCCTTAGTTTAAGAAGTGTTTGTATGAATAAAATGATTTTTCATATGAAGTATTCCATTATATACTTTTTCTCGTAAGTCTTATTTTTATGTTTGACTTTTGTAGGAGGAGAGAAGAAGCACAAAGACTTCTCAAGGAGGCACTTGGGACATTGGAGGGACAATAAAAATAAAAAATGTTTAACTACCAAATCAACAAGTGTAGTATTTTTTTTTTGTGCACTAGCACCTAAGATTTCTATGGTTGTAAATGTTTCACATGAGTCTTTATTTTTATTATACTAGAGTATATTTTAGAAAAGGAAACCGAGCATGTTAAACCCTAATTTTGTTTCTCATTATCTGTTTCATTACAAAAGATGTTGAGACATGGTAAGACAGGTTGAGTTCTAGTGGTTGTATGTTTGATGACGAGACGAGGACATTTATATTTTTTGCAAAGATCAAGTGGTTCCATCTTTTTGGGTGTGATGAAAATTTACAGTTTTTGTTTCATTAACATCAGTCTGACTATCAGCTAAAGTTAAATACATGATAAATAGAAGAGAAATTAAATATCCTTCTACTTTTCTTCATAATTATCTTCTTACACATGTGAAATGATGACAAATATCCAAAAAATATAACTAATTTTATTAAAATATAACACGTGTCATCATTTTATATAGAGATTGATCATCTTAGAGGAAGTATGCGATTTGAGGATTGTTCGAATATTTGAGCTATGCAAAAGACCAAGTTGTGCATAATTTTATATTCTTTTGGTAGATATTTATAATGTAAAAATATATTAATTGGATGATGTTGAACTTCATTTTGATCCAATGGTATTATCGTTAGGTTATTATGACTTTATGATCATGTGGTTAGATTGCCTATGATGGAGATGAAGTGGGGGTGATTTATCATTAGCGTATTTTTTAGTGTCTAAATTGATGATATCAGAACCTGGTGGACTATAACTGCCAGGAGTTGACATTTAAAGGGGTGAAAATAGTCATATCGTCTAACTTTAAGCCACGTAGAACCTTAGAAGTTTCTGGAGACAAAGCTGACCCTAAAAAACTCTGTTGCGTGAAATTTAATCAGTTGAATCGCTGCGGATTAAGGCACGGATATAGCTCGATCGATTTTGCTGCAGGTATTGTTCTAATGTTCTTCGTCATAGTTGTACGTAGTTGGTGATTTATTTTTAAGCGTATGTATTTTCTCACATTTGGAATTTAATTGCAATTTTGTGTATGATGATATGTTCTGATAATCTGATGAAATGTTTCTATTAATTAACCGTTATCGTGATCGCCTTGTGATTGTAATCTGTAGGTATTTCTCTGATTTCTTCGTACTTTAGTCTTATATGATTTGGATCTTATTTGCAGTTCCACATCAAAAATTTTGTTAGATCAATCGCTATTTTTGTTCATAGTTTATACGCGAAATACATCAATCTATTCACACTTGTAATTATTCGGTTTTAGCGTTTCGTAAATTTATGCATCTATTCCCTCTTTCAGTTTCATCCTCACGTATTGATTCTCATAGTTATTACCTCGAATGTATCAATCTTTTCATCCTTGCTATTAGCCTTTGCGTTTACTGAATTTTTACGCTTGTATTCGTTCTTTGTCTATTTCACATCGCTTTTTGTTAGATCAACAGCATCCATCTCTTTTCATGCTTGTTGATTGCTGTTTTAGGTCCATTACATTGCAGATTAGATTTTTCATTTTTGTGTTTGAAAAACACTAAATTGAGGATTATGAGGTAATTGTAGTTCATTGCAATCAACATTCTTTAACATATATTGGCTACAGGGTGAAGCATGAGGGGTAGAAGTTACAGCTACAGCCCTTCACCACCAAGGTACCATAGCAGAAGGAATCGAAGCCCTAGCCCAAAGCGTCATGCTAGAGATCTTCCTACTAGCCTATTGGTTCGCAACCTTCGCCTTGATTGTAGGTTCGTTCCAACATTCTTTCTTTTTTGTGATAAATATTTGAAATATAAACCAATGATCATCAATCATTTCACAAACTCATTGTTTGCAGACCAGAAGATCTTCGTGTGCCATTTGGAGAGTTTGGCCCTCTGAAAGACGTTTACTTGCCACGAGACTACTACACAGGGTGAGCATATTCTTAACTGAATATTCGTTTGTTTATTACAAGTGTTGAAGACAAATGAAGTTAAAAAAGATTACCATGAAGACTGAAGAAAGTTGGTTATAAAACATAGTGAAGAACTTCACATTAAAAATGTAAAGGTTAGCATTCGTTTTTGATGAAAATATTTGGCTCAAGCTTTTGCCGGATATTGAGCGAATTACAAAACAAAACCATTATATTTTGGGGTTTTACCATTTATACTTTCGATCCTACATATGTTTTAATTTTATAATATTTATCTACAGAGAGCCACGTGGATTTGGTTTTGTTCAATTTCTTGATCCAGAAGATGCTGCAGAAGCCAAATATCAAATGGATGGTCAGATCCTTCTTGGTAGGGAGCTCACAGTTGTGTTTGCTGAAGAAAACAGGAAGAAGCCTTCAGACATGAGAGCAAGAGAACGTTTCAGGTAATAAAATTATTAATATCAATATTTATTTATTTATCCAATGAAAATTAACGTCTGAATAAATACAGAGGCAGATCTTATGATCGTAGAGTGTCTTCTTCTTCTTCTTTCAACCGTTATTCTCGTTCCCCGCCACGTGGCAGATCATATCACCATTCTCCTCCTAGACGCCGTCATCATTACTCAAGGTAGGCAGTTTAATGTGTTGTGATCTTGACACGTAGGACGGATTTAATTTAATTTAGTTTTTGTCACGTAGTGGCATGTGATAAATAATCTCTGCCACGTGGGATAGAATACATGTCTACCCAATTAAAACGCAACAACATGTAATAACAGTTGGTTTTGAATTTCATTATTGAGAAATTGACATTAAGTGTTTGATGAGTTGATGTGTTTGGATATGGAATAGGTCAATCTCACGAGACCGAAGCTACAGGGACAGATACAGGTCTTATTCAAGGTCTCCATATGGTTCCAGGAGTCCAGAAGGTTATTAGTTGACAATTAACAGAGTCTTTAATTTATGGATTATGAAATTCCGTTATGGAATCTGGATGTTGATTTTACGTGAACAACTTGATATAATATATATATATATATATATGCATTTAGACTAGATATCTACTTTTTTAGAACTTATTTTTGTCTCTTCAAAATTGTAGAAGACATTTAAGATGTGCCACAACTATAATATCTCCATCTCGTTTTTTTTTTTTCTTTTAATTTTATTTTAGTAGGATAAGTTTTATTTTTAAAGGATACAAAAAAGCCAACAAAAACAAATATGTTCTGGTTGTTTTTATGGGTCCATCGTTATATTTCATCAGTTTTGCTGGTTTAGAATTTTGTTATGTCGAGCATTTTAACATTAGTTTATTTTTTACTAGTTGTGAGATTAAGTATTATATGGGTTGATTAAAAAAAAGTTAAATAAAAATGTTAAAATATTTGAGAGTTTTAAATTTATAAGAAAATAAAAAAATAATGAATTGTTATAATGAAAATGTGTTTTATCTTTTAAATTTGAATAAATAAAAATTTTAATGAACTTTAATTTTGGAAATTTTAAAATTAAAAGGTAAATTCATTAATAAAATTGATATCTATTTATTATTTATTACATTGAAATATTATGTGAAATTTAATGAAATATAAAAATTTATAAAATGGCATGTAGAAAAAAAAATTAATTTAAATTAAATAAAAAATAATATTTAACAAATTAAATAAAATTATGATGAACGGCAAAAAAATAATATAATTATTTATTAGAGCTTGCAAAAAAAAAAAAAACTTATAAACTAGTTTATTTATTTTAAGAAAACTCTGTTTAGATTAATGTTTTAACTAGTTTATTATATAATTTAGGGCAAATTACACAAATGGTCCCTATGGTTTAGGGTAATTTGCATGTTTGGTCCCTAACTTATTTTTCTAACTCGGAAGGTCCCTACTGTTTGTTTTTGTTACACGTTTGGTCCCTGTCTTACATAAAAAGTCTATTTTTCTCTTGATTTTTTAATTTATTTAAATAAACACACCCCCAACCCCATCCCCTCACCTTACCTTACCCACCCTACAATTTTTTTCCTATTTAAATAGCTGTCTTTTTACGTAAGATAGGGACCAAACACGTAACAAAAACAAAAAATAGGGACCAATCGTGTAACAATAACAAACAATAGGGACCTTCCGAGTTAAAAAAATAAGTTAGGGACCAAACTTGCAAATTACCCCAAACCATAGGGACCATTCGTGTAATTTACTCTATAATTTATTAATTTTAAAAAAGTCAAAGCTTCTATATTTTATAGCGTGCATTAATGTTATTTTATTTATTTCTGTTATTTTTTTAATCGGATTATAATTATTTTTCACTTATCAGTTAGTTCCGAACATATCCTAAATTTGTAATGATAGAGAATGTTTGTGTTTTATTGAAATTTTTGATGTTAAGTGTTCCGCTGAAGGCACTAATGGCCATTTTAAGACGCTAAGATATTTCCAAAACGGTCCATATAGAAAAATTGTCAAATGTGGAAGGTATGGCTGACAAAATTAAAATATGATGATTAAGTCACAAATGTATTGATTAAACTATAAAAATAATTTAAACATAATTATATATATATATATATATATATATATATATATATATATATATATATATATATATATATATATATATATATATATTTTTATCGAAAGACTAGTTTCACAAGTAGCTTATCCTTTATAGCAACTGGTTTTCATTTATTTATTTATTTTTAAATTTGTTGGGTTCTTTGCCAAACTTTACGAAACCTTCTATGTTCGTTAGCTCGCCTAAAGAGTCTTAGCTTAGCTCACTGATTGCTTTCTTCACTCATACGACCATATTTGGCACGAAAAAATTGGCTATAAAATAATATGTTGCAATATAAAATTCCTCATAACACGCATTTAGAAAGCAACACAATCTTGTCTTGTATTATAATTTAATATGTTAAACATGCTCTTTGAGGTTTTAAATTTGAACCATAGTAGGAGGATAAGACATACGGATAAGATTCGCGGGGATTTATGTCTATTTAATTTTTGTTGTGCCTTCTTTTTGAAATTAATTTATTTATGAATAATTGAGATGTCAACTCGCTGTGCCCACTTTATCTTGATTCGTATTTCTTTACTGTTTGTTTGTGAGGATTGGAAATGGGCAGATGTAAACGTCGACTAATTTCTAGAAGGAATTGATTTTCTTCGTTGGTTATTATAAAGTCGTTTGTAACGTTATCTGCAAGAGACATATCATGCTATTAATATAGTGTGATGTGATCACTCAATAATTTAAAGACAACAGGTTGATTAATTTATTTTATTTAAAATGGTAAGTCTGTTA